GAGAGAGAGAGAGAGAATTTTTAATATTTATTTTTTAGTTCTCGGTGGACACAACATCTTTGTTGGTATGTGGTGCTGAGGAACGAACCCGGGCCACACGCATGCCAGGCGAGTGTGCTACCGCTTGAGCCACATCCCCAGCCCATTTGGATGGTTTTTATACTGGAGTCTCCATGTCTTTGAATGACTCAAGTTGGAATAAAAGATAGAAAAAAGGCTACCACTTAACTTGAAATTGTGTGTCCATCTGTGTTTCCACCAAAGACACTTAAAAGTGATGAGCAATAATGTACTCCCTTTGCCCCTTTGTGTAAAAGCTACAGACTTTGCAGAAAACAGTATTTGCAACCAGGCTGAAATAGGCAATACAAAATTTTTTAAACAATTATTGAATTTCAGTGGAATTTCAGCTAAACTAACATTTCAGTGCAAGAAACATGATTGAAAAATTGTTGCTATCTAGTTTTTAAAATAATGACATGGTTTGCTATAGAACTACACATAATTGGGTAAAGATTTATTTTGGACTAAAAATGGTCAAGTAACCAATATCAATCATTTTTTTTTATTGTTGGTCGTTCAAAACATTACACAGTTCTTAATAATATCAATCATTTTGATAGCTCCTGGATTTTGTGATGACATCCAGGTCTTCTTAACCCTTTTATTTGAGAATGAAGACATCAAATATCTTTCACAGATGACTTTGCTCAGAATGAAATATTAAAATTATTAAAATTTAATATTCACATTCTTAACTTCGGTGAATCCTTTATAGAAAAAAAACTTTGGTGAATCCTTTATAGAACACAGATTCTGATACAAATCCTCAGCTCTTTCCATCCACCTTCCCTCTTTCACTTCTTCTCTTCCTTACACCCTATCTCCCTCCCTCCTTATTCCTTTATTGAATGTATTATGTTCCCACCACGTGCCAAGCATTCTTGGTGTCAAGAAATCCATTGAGTTTTGACATCATTTCTGGTAAACATAACAATAGCAGATTAGTTTTAAAGAAATCACTACCTATCCATGAGAATTACTGGGGAGGGTTGGATAATAGGCCAAGTCTGGTGCTTACTGTCAAAAAATGTATCTTGGCTGAGCTTACCCATAGGAACCTCAGCTCATCTTCCACTATAGCCACCTACACGTTTCTCAGCCCTGCCGAACCCAGAGAGTGAACCATCATTCCTGCTGCCCAAACACAGGCTGTTATTTATTATACCTCGTAGGTGAGGTGAAATCTGGTAAGCAGCAGCTTCATTTGGAGGGATTCCCATGTTAGGTGTGACTTGTAAGCTGGCAGCAGAGGGTGAGGGATTGCTCAGCAATTGCCTGTACCTCCCCGTGTGGGCTGGTGCTTACACCTGTAGCCTCCTGGTGAAGTTGATGGGTCACCACCTCTGGAGCAGAAAATTCTGAGTGGACAGCACTGAAGACAGAGCCCAGTCTCACAGGCTGATGGTCTATGGTGGCATAGAATGATGAGAGCTTCCAATTTGCGATATTTTGCCCTTTTGTTTATTTTTGTAGAAGCAAGAAATTCAACTGTGTGGAAGACAATGACTTGTACACTTTTGTTCTTCTGTTTGGTGTTTCTTTTGCCCACAGAGTCCTGTAAGATATTAAGTCAGGTAAGAAAAGGGGGAAAGGTGGAGGAAATGGGTGGGGAATGTAAATGGACAACAGAATCCATCAACCAGCTCTCAAGTTCCTGAGAGCCCATGTGCTAGAGAGGATGATGATGGAGTGACAGCTCTGACAGAAGAAACTGCAGCTACAGTTAACAAAAACCCATGTCAGCCAGTAGCTACAAATTATTTCCCCCCATTTTATTCTGAGATGCAATAAGATTGAAATGAAGGGTAATAAACTTCTTTCCATATCCTTTCCCTTGCTTATAGTCAGGGTGATGCTATTTCCTAAGGGGCTCTTGAAAATGTAGAGGTGGTGGAGTTACCACCATGACTGGGAGTTATTAATGGCATTTAATTGGCAGGATCTAAAACGGGTTTGGCACAGTAGTGCATCATCCTAGTCAAAATGGCAAAAGCATCTTTTTTGGGAAACTGATAATGAATAGCAAAAATGGGCCTCTCTCTGGAATATTTTCTTTCATACCATAGGTCATTTAAATTTCCCTATTAGTTGCTTATGTAAAATAAGGTGTGGAAGAAGAGTGTGAGAGAGAGACAAAAAAATATTTTGAGCATCTTGAGATCTTGAGAAGAGAGTATTATTATTTGACCACAGGTCTGAGATTGACAGGTGAAGCTTCACTCCCTTGTTTTATAGATGGAGAGATTGAGGCCATTGTTGTAGAATGTAATTTGCATGAGGTATGCACCCTGCTCAGCTACAGGGCCAAGGTGAGAACATCTGACTTCAGATTCTCAGCTTCTTGCTATTTCCATTTTAATATGTTCCTTTTTAGTAAAGCCTTCTTGAGAGAGGAGCAGGGGAGACTCAAAGTTCTTTTTAGCAGTCTTCCAAATAATATTTACTTTCTAAGTAGTTTGCCTTAACGAGTATGGGTGGGACTCTTTTCCACGACTTTCCTTCCGCCAACACAGAATGCATATCTGGTTCCAGGAAAATTAGAGACCCTTTAGAAGCTTTTTTTGCCGGAGACACTCCAACCCCACAACATGGTACTATTTCCCCTCTTAATTCAATTTTTTAATCCACAGTTTTCTTTTAAAAAAATTTAATATTTATTGTTTAGTTGTAGTTGAACACAATACACTTATTTTATTTATTTTATGTGATGCTGAGGATTGAACCCAGGGCTCTAAAAGGCTTGGTGTGTACTCCACTGCTGAGCCACATTCCTAGCCTCTAATCCACAGTTTTCTACCAGACAGAATGTAGAGTGTAGACAGAGGATGGGAGGTTGGCTTTGTTTTTCTTGATTGCTGGGATCACCTCATCAGGGACATTTTATCCCTTTTTTCCTCTATTATAGAAGTTTCTGGGCCCTGAACAGTTGGGAATTGTCCCCTCTTGACTTGCCCTCGCACTGGGGCAGCCTAACCAGTTGAGCAGGCTGCCGATTTGCAACTGTCTTTTTTATGTTATTAGGTTGAGGATTGTTGGTATCTGAAGCTGAAGTGTCCCACACTGCATGCCCCCTAGAAATGAAATGATCAGAGGAGTCACATATGGCATGCTTTGGAAAATAGCTGGGAAGAATTAAATTAGGTCCTTCATTTAAGAAGACAGGTTTTCTAGAACTATTTGCAAACTTCATACCATGGCCTTCTGCCCACATACCTGATTGATATGATGTGACTTCACTGGAGTTGGTTTAATGGGTCAAGTCTCATCCAGAGTGTTGACTTCCTACTACATTTCCCATAGTGTGTTGAAGAACATGGCTCTATCAGGATGGGTTTGGGGCCCCTTGATAAGCCTATGCTTCCTTCCACTTACCTACTCTACCTGTTGCAGGTAGACATGGGCTGGCTCTTTGAAAAAAAAAAAAAAAACAACTGTTCCCTAAGGAGATAGTAAAGTCCTAGTCTCAGCCATGAGAGGAACTCCTTATATAGCCTTGTGCAGGGCACCTCATCTAGCAAGGCCTCGGTTTTCTTATCTGTAAAATAAGGGGGTTGGACTGGGTGATCGAAAGAATCTTCCAGAACTCTTAAGACTATTATTTTAGTACTCTTTTAGTGGAAGAACTTTAGCTATTCTGCTTATGTAATAAGACTTTATTCTCTTGACTATAAAATAAGTCGTATCACATCCATGATTTCAAGGATATTCAGTCCTGTGTTCCCAGAATTCAAAGGGGCCTCTAGAAGCAAAGTGAACCTTCATTCATTTCCCTGTAAATCCACCTCTGTCCACAATGTATTTTGTGGACAGAGTGTGGACTGTTCTTACTGGAGACAGAAGTGGACGCCTGCTGCGTGCAATGGGAGGGAGGGCCTAGGGGAAAATGGGGCCCCGGGCCATACTTCACAGCTCAGATTCCAGTGGCCACACTGGCCTCACAGCTGATTCAGACATAGTTATTCATCTGTGACTAAAATGAACCATTGGGATTGCATATCAACAGCTGATTTTGACATGAATTTTTTTATTTTTCTATCTAGGCTGCCAACAAAAACACGGAGAAGGTGCCTGCCAGGCCACATGGTATGTTGGCAGCAGTTCCTAATCACATGGAAGGCTGACTGGTCCTCTATTGTAACAGAAGGCCATTCTCAGTCCTCTGTCACATGGCATAGCAGATGGGACATCTTGGTAGCTTGTATTTGGACTCTATTTTTTTTTTCCTTGTGTTGAATTGTGCCTTTGACCACAGGTGTGTTCCTCTTTCCTCCCAACATTCCCTACTCCATCCTGGGCTGAGACTTCTTTGCCACAGATCCTTTGTATTGAGTGGACTCAAACCAGGGAGGTAGCTAAAAGGGATCTGTGAAAACTCATTAATGATGTGACACACTATAAGTTTCTAGAACTGGAGGGCTTCTCTAGGAACATCAGGGACAGTGGATTCCAAATGAGCTGATCTGGAAGGCTTTAGCAATCTGAGGAGTTGCCCAGGGGTTTCTGTGGGCACAGGAGAGTGACCCAGTGGGCTAAGCTGTGGACTCTTCTGGCTCAATTTAACTGCGGCAATTCCACTTTTATATGTTTTATATATTAGAGTTCAGGATAAGATTCTATCAGATAGGATAGGATTTTGTTGCTGAAATATGTGATGCCCACTGATTCATTTTAATCTTCTGCCATTTTACCAAGAAAAGATACCTGACATCCACCAGATTTATGTGCCTTTACTTCAGGGACACCTTGGTGATTGGCCCAGCATAACTTAGATCTCAGAGCTTTCGATCTGATATGGACATCTTTTGTTCTTCCAGGTGTATGTGATGATGTCTGTATGGACAATTCCCATTGCAGCCAACCTTGCCCTCCAGGCACTGAGGGAAATATAGGATTTTCATGCAGGAAAAACAAATGGTACAAAGTTACTGATACCTGCCGGACTCTTAATGCCTTCAACATCTTTGAGGTAATATTCTGTCTCTCATAACATGGATTCTTTTGTGGGCTCTCTGAAAAAAGTGGAACCTTGAATTAGCAATTCATATTGGGCTTGCATTAGGGGGAAGACGAACATGAGGTGGGGTGGTAATAGGTTGTTTGTTAATACGTAAATACCTACATATCTCTACTTTCTTAATTTTGGGCATTTGTGCTTCAGTTCCTCACACCCTTTCTTGACATGAAGGAACCCAGTCATTTAGGTTAGAGCTACAATGGGTGCCACAATTGTCATAGAAAACTGCTCAGTTAGCCCTTTAATACCCCAAAGCTCTGACACACAAGGTGTCCTTCACCCACTGGCAGCAGCCCTGGAAACTTTTTTAGACATGTGGAATTTGGGCCCCACCTTGGCCTGCTAAATCAGAATCTGTTGTCTATCAAGATCCACAGGTGATTTCTGTTTTCGTTCAAATGTGAGAAGCCAGCTGGCCTAAAGGGAATGACTTTGTCATCAAACGGACATTTTCATATATACTTAATTCCATAGCTTTTTAATTAAAGTCTAATAAACTCAAGTCAAATGCTATTTCTTCTCCTTTGCTTCTTTTTCTCCTTTTCTGGCAGGAGCTTTACTATTGTGCAGGTAAATCAGCTCCTGGTTCCTTCAGAGGAGTCTCCGCTTTAGCATTTCTTTTGTTTTAGGAACATTCCTTTGTTGTTGTTGTTGTTGTTGTTGTTGTGTTTGTGCACCTCTCTAGGGAGTATTTAGTGGGTATTAGACCAGGAGTCTCTGATCAGACTTCAAGAGGCTGCCCAGTTCTAACATCTGGGGAGATTGAGCAAAGGTGTATGTGCAGACCCACACACCATATGTCTTAATATTCAAATATTTTAACTTAAAAATTGCTAAATAAGATATAACCTGTCTGCTTCCATCCCAGATTCCATTCTATTCCTCAAAGGCAGTGCACTGCCAAGGTCATGCATCTAATACCCTGAAAACAGTGCCTCTTAACCTCTTACACCCCTAGGATGGTGGTGTCATCTAGCTTTGGGGAAGAAGCCTTTCCAGGCCCTAGAAGCAGACCTGGAGTGTTGAGTAGGGCATTTACATGTCTCTAGAAGGGCAAAGGACTCTGCATTGGCATGTCTTCTAGATCCACAGATTCCTCTTCCTGTGAAAGGGTGGGCTGGAAGTCCTTTGGAGCAAGGTCAGCAAGCTTTTCTATAAAGGGCCACAGTGAATAATTTCAGTTTTGTGGGTCACATGTTCTCTGTTACTGCTATACAGCTCTTCCATTATAGTGTGAAAGCAGCCATAGACAATACTTAAGTGAATAAGCCAGTGGAGTTCCAATAAAGTTTTATTCACAAAAGAGAAAAAGCAAAAAACCAAACAAACCAAAAAAAAAAAAAAAAGACAGTTACCTAGGGGCCATAGTTTACCATTTCTACCATAAAGCATGGGACCCAGAGCCTGAATCAATGGGAGATACTGTCTGTCACTGTTTTTAGACATTCTTGCATTCTTGTACCTCAGTGTCCTAATTGTTTTGTTCAATCTAGTTCAGTTATAGTCATGTCTCAGACTTTGGTTTGGGGGAATAGTAAAAATAAGCTTAAATTTCACTAGAAATCTAGTCTCTCTCTCTCTCTCTCTCTCTCTCTCTCTCTCTCTCTGTTCCTCTACACACACACACACACACACACACACACACACAGATGCACACATAGTATGTATACATAGAGGCTGTCCAAAATCTAATGTGAAAGATGACAGTTGCTGTTTTGAAGGAGGGGTTAAGGAGTAGGCCATTGGTTTTCTTTCTTTCTTTCTTTCTTTTTTTTTTTTTTTTTGGTTCATTTACCTTGGTATTGATCAAGTTATTCTACCCCAAATGTGACTTTGAAATGGAAAACAGAAAATCATTACGCAATTCACAATTGTACAATAAGCCTGGTAAATTGTGGTAAAAGTACTCTTACTCTTAACATAAACATTAAAAAATTTCTTTGTTTTGGCTGTATCTTAGGAGGACTCATATTTAGCTAAACCATTTGGAGAAACCATAAGAATAAATGAATATTCTGGAAAATCTGAGACCATAACAGATATGTTGATGCAAAAGTGTCCAAAAGATTTGTCTTGTGTGATTAAAAACATTAAGCGGTCTCCCCGGATACCAGGAAACATCGCTGTCATTGTACAGCTCTTACACAACATTTCAACAGCTCTGCTGACAGATGTTGATGAGGCAAAGATGAAGGTGAGTGGCCTTGGATATTTAGTAGAGCACTGTCTACATGGAAAAGGAATTTAGGTTACTTGAAGTATTCTCTGAGCTTCCTGGAGGCTGAAGACTTCTTCCACCTCAGTATTTCCAGTGTCTAGCACAGCAAGTGCTCAGTAAACTCTCAATGAAGACAGAAAGAATGAATAACTTGTTGAATTAACAAACATTTATAGACTGCACTTACTTGGGACTGTGGTGGACACTGGAGTCTGCTTTTCCAATTTTGGCTGCTGTAAACCTCTAAGAATCATTCTAGCTTTGTCAGAGAGAAACATCTTTCTTACTTTTATTTGTGAGTTAGAGCTGGTTACTAAAACAGAAAATAATGGAATGCCAAGAAAATAGCCATATTCTCTGCAGAAACGTTGAAATGGAACTGGATCTGTTTCTTTTGTTCAAAAAGCAAAGGGTAGTTAAAAAGTAGCTTCAGCCTCTGGGGTCAGTTTCCCATTTACTATATTCCTGTATAGGATTCTGCAACAGTTGGAATTTAACGGATGTTTTTAATCACATGATGGGTACTTGACGGGTTAAGCAAATTGTAGTTTTGCAAACTGTAATTTTTGTGAAGTGGAATTGATGATAGAAATGAGCAGATTGCCTGGGGATCTTGTTCTGATGCTGATTCTGATTCATTAAGTCTGGGGTAGGATCTGGGGTAGGAGTCTCTGCCTTTAAGAAGTTCTTAGGGGATGCCTGTGCTGCTGGTCGGAGGACCACACTTTGTAAAAGTGAATCTTGAAATGCATTGGCTGTTTGAGAGTGGCTCAGTACTAATACCAGTTCTTCCCTGGCAGAGTTACAGCACCATGGCCAACCACATTCTTAACAGCAAAAGCATTTCAAACTGGACCTTCATTCCTGAGAGAAACAGCAGCTGTGTTCTGCTTCACTCAGTCAATTCCTTTGCAAGAAAGCTTTTTGTAAGTAAACATCCCATTGACATATCAGACGTCTTCATTCACACCATGGGCACCACCATTTCTGAAGACAACACAGGAAAGAATTTCACTTTTTCCATGAAAGTTAATGACACTGGCAATGAAGTTACCGGGAGGGTGTTGATTAGTCAAGAAGAACTTCAGAAGGTGCCTTCCCCTTCTCAGATCATCAGCATTGCATTTCCAACTCTTGGGGCCATCTTGGAAGCCAGTCTTTTGGAAAGTGTCACTGCAAATGGGCTTGTTCTGTCTGTCATTTTGCCCAAGGAACTTAAAAGAATCTCACTGATTTTCGAAAAGATCAGCAAGTCAGAGGAAAGGAAGACACAGTGCGTTGGCTGGCACTCCCTGGAGAGCAGATGGGACAGGCAGGCCTGTAAAATGATTCAAGAAAACTCCCAGCAAGCTGTTTGCAAATGTTGGCCAAGCAAGTTGTTTACCTCTTTCTCAATTCTTATGTCACCTCAGACCTTGGAGAGCCCAACTCTGATTTATATCACATACATAGGCCTGGGCATTTCGATTCTCAGCCTGATCCTTTGCTTGTCCATCGAGGCCTTGGTGTGGGGTCAAGTGACGAAGACCGAGATCTCATACTTACGCCATCTGTGTATCGCTAACATTGCGGCCACCTTACTGATGGCTGATGTGTGGTTCATTGTGGCTTCCTTTCTCAGTGGTTCAGTGACACACCACAATGGGTGTGTAGCAGCAACATTTTTTGTTCATTTCTTTTACCTTTCTGTGTTTTTCTGGATGCTTGCCAAGGCACTCCTCATCCTCTATGGAATTCTGGTTGTTTTCCATACACTGCCCAAGTCAGTCCTGGTGGCATCTCTCTTTTCAGTGGGCTATGGGTGCCCTTTGGTCATTGCTGTTATTACAGTTGCTGTCACGGAGCCTGGCAAAGGCTACCTACGGCCAGAGGCCTGCTGGCTTAACTGGGACACCACCAAAGCCCTCTTGGCCTTTGTGGTCCCAGCTCTGGCCATTGTGATAGTCAACCTGATCACGGTCACACTGGTCATCACCAAGACCCAGCGAGCTGCCATTGGCAGTTCCATGTTCCAGGAAGTGAGAGCCATTGTGAGAATCAGTAAGAACATCGCCATCCTCACACCACTGCTGGGTCTGACCTGGGGATTCGGAATAGCCACAGTCATTGATGACAGCTCCCTGGCCTTCCACGTTATCTTCTCCCTGCTCAACGCATTCCAGGTAAGTCCAGATGCTTCTGCTCAAGATTGAAGTGAGAGAATAGGTGAAGAAGTTTTGTGATCAGGAGTCTGTGGCATCAGATTATACAAAAGACAATTAAATAGTATATCTGGAATAAGAAAATTAGCCTTTGTTCCAGAAAGGCCTGGATTTGAATTTTGACCCTCTTATTTACCAATAATGTTTAATAAGATCTTGGAATATTTACTTAACTTATTCAAGCATATTTCTCTTATACATAAAGTGGATATAATATCCACTTCATAGAGTTGTTTGGAAATAAAATCATGATTATGAAAGCATCAAAGTACTAAAATAATCTAAAGATCACAAGCAGGTGTCTACTAGGCTGACTTGTTACTGTTGAGAAATTAAACAATAACACCTCTCCCAAAATTTAGGGTTATAACTGGAGGTATTAAATTTTTTATTATATTTTCTGTTACTTAGAATTTTTAGTTGCCATTAGAAACCATCCTATTTTAACAAGTTGTGCTCTATAGAGTGGCATTAAAAATGTTTTCTCTTCTCTCATATCTTGTATGAATTGACAAATTTTCTATGCTAATAAAATATTTTGCATAATATAGGGGTTTGAAAATAATGTATGACAACTATGTTAATAATAGAGGATGCCTCACATTTCTATGGAAGCTATTTATTGTACTGTACATTTGTATAGCAATTAGTAATTATCAATTCCTCACACATGTTTACAAAACTAGTCATAAATAGGACTGAGGTGAGAACCCAGTTTTCCAAGTCTCAGTTCAGCATATCCCATACCTGTCCTCCGAGGGACTGTAGCTCATGTCTCATCCCACAGCACTTTCCTTTTTTGTCTCCCTTGGGGCCATCTCACCTGTGATTTTTCTTCTGGACTAGTCTGTGAGCACTTTGACCTGTCATACTAGGATGAATTGAAATTTCCATTCAATTTTTGCCCTGACTCTGGGCCAGGAGTAGTTTGGGGCTCTGTGTGTAGAAGTCATTGGGGAGCTGAGAGCAGGGCATGGGTGAGGGCCAGACATGGGGAGGGCAGAAGGCAGGGCTGAGCTGGAGCTGGCTTGTTCTGGCTCATGGGAACTGACACATTCTTAGGAATTTTGTGAGCTAGTTATAAACGCAATCCTCAGCCAAAATTAAAAAGTGCAATGAAATAAATTAAAAACAAAGATCATACTTTGAGACTAATCACTTCCTAATCATTTTTCTAGCATTTTACTATACTCTTGATTTGGGTTTGCTATATCCATATGGTGGAAATACTAAATAATGATGTTCTACTGCCCATTTCTTCCTACCTTCATGCTCAGCCATGTTGTATTGCTAGATTTAATCAGCCCCAGTGAGAGCACTTAACCATAAAGATGGGTAAATACTACAAATAAGGAGAGTTCATAGTTATTTACCAGCATCTCACTGGATCAATACATCTTCATGATGCCTAGGAAGGGAGGAGAGGAAGAGGAGTCAGTCATGGAGAGGAGATAACAGTCATGAGGTGAGAGACATAGAAAGCCGGGTAGGAAGAAGGAGGGAAGTAGATTCTTAGGATGAGAAGACACAAGAGGCAGCTGAGGCTGACAGAGCAGAAAAGAGATTCTGAAATATGCTGGGAGGCCCAGACGTGTGTGAGGAAGACTCTTCTGAAGATTTCCTGGTCCCAACCCCATGGGAGTATCTCCAATGGCTTAACCATCCCCTTTTCTATGGAGGTGTATTAGGTAGTTAGCTGCTATCTTAACAATCCATAGTTACTTCTGATTGGTATCCCCTCCTTTTATTTATGGGAGATAATTGTGGGCTGGGTGAGGTTTGGGGACCCTTTGTAGCTATTTTAGTAGGAGAAATATACAGCACATATATTAAAACCTGGGGGAACACCTTGGGATTTACTTGCTCAAATTGTGTTTTATCTACTAAAAGAAATGCAAAGATGCGGCTGATAAATTCTTATTAGGTACACTCTCTCATCCCTTCTCCTTCAGATATTCAACTTCATGACTAATCTTTTGTCTAAATCTTCTCATTAGCATTTTAGGTAACTTTCCCCAAGGGGCACAAACCAATGAGAAGTGATTTTAATTAAACATTTCCTTTACATATTTGTGGCTGTATAGGGGCAGAGTGTATCACAAGGTTATCAAACACATACACACTCAATAGAGAGACACCATCCTTATTGAGTATTTATTTTGTGTCAATCATTGTGCTAACTGTTGGGAATATAAATATAAATAAGTCAACCCCAAGGAACTGAAAATCTTATGAGGAGAGAAACTCTTCTTAGTCCTTTAGCCAAAGAATGCAGATTCTGTGGCAGAAACATGCTAGAATGGTGGTTTCCAGATCTTTAACATTTTAAATTTCTGAGCCAGCCTCATTTAGATTCTGATTCCAAATGCATCCCTAGCACCAAAACCAGGCTGACAAGTATTTATCCTAAGCATCTTTTTAAGAATAATACTTTGTAGTCCAGAGGACATTTTTTTTTTTAGTAGAAACAATGACAGGTTTTAATAATTATCATGTAGGCTAAGAGTGTCACACAAAAGAGCAATCTGATAAAAGCTATGTGTGGAGCAAGGTGTTGAATGTTTGTTGGACAGACTGGATGGAAAGGTATATATGTTCAGGGGAATGAATGAACCGTGTGGCTCTATACCTGTTTCTGTAAAGTCCTCTATCTCTCAGGTGGACTTTTACCAAACTGTTAACTGTAGGTTGGGTGTTTATTCTCCTTGATGACTCTGATTGTAACATCCTTATGGTGCCAGTTGTGTTAAACCCATGAGCCTTAACAGGCTTCTGACTGGGTTTGTATTTACTTCTGAAATTGGAGCAACTTCATAAGGAGGCCTAAGGAAAAGGTCATTATCTCACTTCCCTTTTTGATCCATAGTGTAAGTAACTGAACATTCAAGAAAACTCTTCGCTTCTCCCTCCCCCGCCGCCCCCGCCACCATGGCCAATGGATATCTCTATCACTTAATGAAAGTGGAATGTCTGAGCTTTCTTTTCCTTATCTGAAAAATGGGACTACTCCCTATCCTTCCTTGTCCAAGGAAGTTTTGTGCCAATCTGTGGTGAAAAAAGTAAGAAACTCAAATGGACTAAAATTGCAAAGGAACAACCTGTTTTTCATTTTATGGGGTCCTCCTCTTGTATGGATGGTAGGAGATTGAAGAACCAATCAATTCCCTCTATTTTATCTTCTTTGGAGCAGCTGCAATATGGTTAGAAAGTCAATCTATTTTATGATTTATTAATTTTTCTGAGTATGCATATATTTGTTTTTTCTTTGCAAAGTTTTGTAATATTCTTTGCTGTGGATGGGAGAAGGAGGTTGAGTGTGTCCTAGGAAGCTAAGCACACTTCTTTTTGCTCTTTGTTGTGGAAGTTTCTTTCATTACTTATTGTTCAGGGACTGCAAGGCTGCTGTCAATTGCCTAACTTTTTCTTGGAACATTATATTCCAATAAGAGGAATAGCTTCTGCAAAATGCTAAACACTTTTATTTTGCTCACCTTAAGAAAAATCCTTCAGATATTCCTGTATAAAGCAGGGATCTTGTTCTGTTTAGTTTGCTGAGGTTTCACAGTGTCATAAAATAGGAAATTAGGATCTTAAAATAGAAAATTAAAAGATTGAATATATTGTTTTCTTTTTACCCAAATAGTGGCGGAATAATAAATACTAATATTTATTATCATTTTGTAAATGGCTTCTCCTCCCTTTTTTATCTTTCACAGGGCTTCTTCATCCTGGTGTTTGGAACAATACTGGACCCGAAGGTACCGTATATAAATTCTTTTTTTTTATTTCTTGTGTTACCAGTACTTGGCCCTGAGATGCTCACTTGTAAAGGCCACTGAGAGTCTTTCACCTGAGTCATGTGTAGAGTCACATGAGTAGAGCACCACTGTTCCTTATAACAAAAGTGACATCTACCACCTTTTGAGCTCTTGAGAGGATAAGTATTTTATGCACATTAGTTCTAACCCTTAAAGCGATCGTGGGTATTATTACCATTTTCAATTTTACAGATGGGGAAACAGAGTGATTAAGTAGCTTGTTCAGAACTCTGCACAAACCCACCATGACCCACTGATTCAGAAAAGGGGTTTGTTCCATCTCACAGTGCCATCTTTGGGAGGATCTCTCCTTGGCTTGGAGGTTTCATTGCAGGAATTGTCTCCAATGCACAGGATAGAGCTGTTCCAAGAGGGATACCATTGTTCCTGCCCTTTGGCTTGGCACAGATAGCAAAATTCAATAGGCCAATGTTACACAGTGGATGCTTAAACTAGAGTTGCTACTACTGCTGTGTGGGGGATTACCTCCAACTCAGCTTGTTGAGGCTCAGTGGTACCTGGTTTTTTGCATTGAGGGGCTGATGATCTGAACTCAGGTCGTGTAACTGTACCTTAGCTGCAGAATTGTTTGGAGGAGTAAGTTCCTGATTTTTACCTTGAAGAGCAGTGGACTAAAGGAAGGGAATTCTTTAAACACAGATGAGTGTTGATTGTTGTAAGTGGTAGGAACAAATAAAAATTAAACAAATAAAACCTCAGATGTTTACTGAGGCTTCTGAGATTGTCCCCCCCTCCTTGTATTGTGTTGCCTCTTGGAATAGCAAACAACCCTCTCAGATATAGATACAAACACCTTCTACCAATTAAAAAAATTAATTTATAAAGTCAAAAGGGACAATACAAAGTTAGATATGCCCCCCCCAAAAAAAAACACACACACAACAAAACAAAAGCAAAACATCTTCACTGCAACAGTTGTGGCTTTTTAAAAAGTATGGATGCTAATTCTATTATTAGGTTGATATCAAAGGCTTATGAAAGAAGACTTTCACAATTGTCCTTTCAGCATTTTTTTAAGGTTATCATATCAACCTGGTAAAAATTATTGAGAGGTGAAAGCATATTAGTCTTGATATTTCTATGTACCTAATAGTTCCTAACTTAACAAAGTTCCGATTTATGAAATTTTCACTTTATGATGGTGCACAAGTGATATGCATTCAGTAGAAACTTTATTTCAAATTTTGAATTCTGATCTTTTCCTGGGCTGGAAATGTGCAGTGTGATATTCTCTCACCAGGCTGGGTGTTGGCAAGTCCCAGTCAGCCAGGTGTTGCAATGGTAAACAACTGATACTCCACTGTGTTGCTAAGCTACGATGTTCGGTAGGCTAAATGGATTAAGTTTAACTTATGATATTCGACTTACAATGGGTTTGGTTATGAGGTGTCTCCCCAAAGCTACTGTGTTAATGCAAGAATATTCAAATGTAAAATGATTGGATTGTAATTTAGTTTGAATCCCAGGAAGTAGGCATGGCGGGAGGAGGTGGGTTCCTGGTTGTTCTTTCTCGTGGCCCCCTTTGCTTTCTGACCCCACCAGAAACTGAGCAGATTTTCTCCAAGAAGGGGCCATGATGCATTGTCTCAACTTTGATGCAAATCAGTGGATTCTGCTCACCTTAGACGAACCTTTGAAACAGTGAGCTGCAAATAAACTTTTCCTCTCCTAAGTTGTTCTTGTTGGTCACACTGACACAGAACTGACTGGAACAGGTTTATGGGGATGCAGTCCCATTTGTCATTCAAGGAGCTTCTGTACTAGCTGTGTGCAATTGGGGAGTTCTTAATGCTTAGGAATCCCAGGTTCCTCAAAAGGTAAACACTCGAAAGCATTACAGGAGCCTACATGATTGATGGAAGAAAACTGTAATTTCTAGTCATCTCCAAAAACAAGAGGTAGTCAGTCAAAACCAGTGAGCATGTATGCCTCAAGGTGCTTACTATTAATTTTTAAAGTATGAATTGTGTACCTTATAAAAGTATATAATTATGCAACACAGAGTTGAAAAAGAATGGCAACAAAAAATGTAAGTAGGAGCTCTAATATATCTCCACAAATCCCAGTGGATCACTTGGTGCACTGGCCCCTGACCCCTCACTGGACCTTGGGAGTGACAAAGAAAACTGCATTTTCAGGGAAGGGTGAAGTCACCCTGAACTGGAGGGCTTTGGCATATGTTAATTGTGAAGACAGAACTTGTGCAAGGCCTTGGAATGTAAGTAACATGTTCACAGCAGAAGGAAAGTCAGAGGGAATAAGAAGAGGCACGATATTCAACAGGAGAGGAAAGGATGATCTGGAGTCAGGGGATGTGAATTCAAGTCCTGGTTGTTTCTCTTAGTAGCTAGAAGATTTTAGATGTCAATCTTGAAGCCTTAATTTCCTCAGTTGTAGAATGGGGATGATAATATTTATCCTGCAGGGTTTTTTTTTTTTTGGTGGGGGGTAAAACAATATGACAACTGTGAAAAGCACTTTAAAGTTATAAAAGCAAATGTAATTGTTACTTAATATTCTTACTTACTTGATTCCATGGACTGTAGCTATGTTGGATAGTACTTTCTTTTTTCATCTAGAAATGGGTGGAATCATTGACAAATCGTGGAAGTGATTAACTATTTAAATGTTCCAAAAATAAAATAAAGTACAATAAATAAATTAAAGCCTTATGTTTGAAATCCTCAAGCTTGTGGCCAACTTTACTTCTTAGCCATTAGGTCCAGGCTTAAGTTCCTGAATATGAATCTCCTAAGCCAGTTCTACCCCTCCTGTCTCCCCCAAGGTCCCAATTCCTTCCCAGACCATTCCACCAGGTTACTGATCCCTCTGTGTTCTACCAATAGGGACCCGGCTGGTAACATTCCCTTGTCACAGTATTTGCCAGGTTCAGGTACATGTATTAACTTCATATAACCTTTTAATTCTTAACTCCTTTTGTTAAATATCCAGATAAGAGAAGCCTTAAAGGGTCGAGTGAACTCTGTGAAATGGATCGCCAGAATATCAGAGGTAAAGCTCTCCTGTGCATTTTTTTGCATTGCTAAACCAGCAAGATAACAGTGCAGAACTAGCACCTCAACACTCTGTAATTTGTTTTTTCCCCAAGTGAGTGTTCATATTCTTTCTGAGTACAAGATTTACAGATAAATGAAATCTTGAAATCCAGAGAAATTAAAGTAGGCCTAAATGCACTTAGAGGTGAGTAACAAGGTGGCAGGTTTGGAGATGTAAGAGAGCACAGGATGAAAGAGAGAAATGAGGGGAGCTGAGAAGTCTGATCCCACCAGACTTATGGTCCTCTGCTGATCAGTTGCATGACATTCACAGTGTGAAAATTTCAGGGAGTCATATTCTGATCCCACACAAAGAACTTCTTGAGAGCTTGGTTTTCAAGATGGGCCAGTTGCCATGGTAACTGGAGTTAAGTAGGCTGGGGCTCAGTTCAAGGAGGTTGCAGAGAAGCTTCAGTCATTATTATCTAATAGGATAGACCATAACATGCCCTTTAACATATATTCTATTCTTATAACTTAGAAACCATTTATTGTTAAGCAAACTTGTTCTGAGTTAGAGAAAATCTGGAACTTTCTAGATGGCAGCAAAAAGGGATTCGAGGTTAACCTAAGACATAGACCAGCAACAAGAGAGGAGGTGATCTAGAGTTTTCCAGGCCACATCTGAAAGGACCAACACCACCCGTCAAGAGCTGGTGCTACAGAAGATAGGGACATGGTGGGTGACAGGTCATTCTGGGACTGTGTACCTGTGGCCCTGAGTAGCACTGTTATCACCTTTCCCTATGTCCCTTGCCTTCCCATTCTCTTTTCTTTGACTTCTTTTGTCTCCTTCTTATCTTCTCTCCCTTTTCTTCCTTTTCTTTGCTTATTGCATCTACCCTTACTTTTACCTAAGCTTTGATCTTGTTCTTAGTCCTTGGTTTCTACACCTGGGAGATGACTGACTTCTCTATATTCCTTCCAGCTAAAGACAGAAAAAAAGAGGCAAATTTACTGAGCATTGACACTAATAATTATTTAAAGCAGTCGCTTTCAACCTCAGCCACACATGAGAATCAACTGGGAAGATTAAAAAAAATGGGGTTACTGGGTCATACTCCTGGATGGGTCTGAAGTATGCCTTGGGTTTGGGGAGTTTTGACAGCTTCCCAGGTGATTCTAATGTACAGTCAAGGCTGAGATGCATTCATCAAAAGCCTTCTGAAAGGATCTTTGCTTCATAAATACTGCTTCCTACCAGTGCACCTGATTTAAGCATACCCCTCTGTCACCTGTCCACGGTCACAGCGCTCTCGGGGCACTGTCTTGATCTCTTCCAGGTTAGTACTACTCTTTTTTAAAAAATGTGCTTTCAGTATTGGTCCATTCAGGCCACCAAAGGGAAAGTCTACCTTTCTGTGACAAAGAAAAAGTGTCATCTTGCCCATTTCTCTTTGGTTTTTAAATGAATAAGTCCAAACAATACTCAGTACTTTATTGTGAGTTGTCTATAGGCTGTCAGTGGTTTTCAATGCCAGCTGCACATTAGAAGCATCAAAGGAACTTTAAAAAAAAATACCATAGTCCAGGCCTCACTGAAGAAAAATTACATCAGAAACTCTTGGGTTTTAGGGCCTAAGCATGTCTTTAAACTGCAGTAATTCTAATGCACGGCTGGGGTTAGAATTCATGGGTCTAAGTACTAGGTACCTTTGGCTCACTTCTTGAAATCCTTCCTGCATTCTGCTCACTAGCTTATTAGCTTTATCAACCTGCTCAGAAGATGGAAGCAGGAATGGTCTATCATCTGTTCTCCTCTCCAGCTTTGTCAGCCCCTGATTCGTAGGTAGCAATCTTCTACATCCAGGTTTAACTCACCCTGGGTAGTACTTGCCTGGACAGGGTCAGTCCCAATACCCTACACCCAGGATAATAAATGCTCTTCTGTGGTTATATTACATCTAATATCAGGAATTAGCCTATGGTAATGGGATAGTAAATCTACTAGTGTATTAGTGTGTTACTTCTCTTAGGCAACATATACCTAAAACATACCTAAAAGATATATTTTCAATACATGTACATCTGAAGGGAATGACTTTAATGTTGAGGATTTCAGCAGATCAGATGAGAAGGGGAGCTTGGGGTCCGAGAACCATTCTACACCATCCTCTCTGTGTTCCTCCCTTCCCAGGACCCCAACTAGGGACTCTTTCAAGAGAGGCATCCAGGCAGGCCTGGCCAGAGAGGAGGAGGACCTTTCACACCAGCCTGTTCCTGTGTTGTTAGTGGTTCTAATATAAAGAGGAGAAAGGGTGAAGTTAAAAGATAAAATAAATCTCTGCTTTAAATCTTCGAGTGCTTTAAATTACTGTGATAATTGCAAACAAACTGATAATGATAAGCACAATTATACTTTGTCTTTCATAGGACCTTTCTTCTGAATTCTCTTGTCAACCCACCAAAGGGCCAAGCTAACAAACTACATGCATTCCTAACTCAGGAGGTGAGTGCAAAGCAAAAGGGTCTCCACGCATGTGCCGTACGTGTGGCACTTCTTTCAAAAATGATAATTCGATTGTAATTAGAAATGATTTTTTCTTGATTGAAAGGATTCTTTCATACAATCTATTGTCACTTTGGTATAGCTAGAAATTCATTCACATTTCCAGTTCTTGAGCTACTGAAATTTTTGCCATCCTTGCAAAACCATCAGGCATGTCTGAGAAGGCTTGTGAATTAGAGCACTGAGCACAGGTGCCCGCTCTGCTTAACTGCTCCCTCTCTTCCATCTGTCCCCTAGTTTCCCATTCTAGGACATCATAAATTATATAAGCAATGTCCCCAAATTTCCCACTGTCACCTCTCTCTTTTTTCTCATCTTAAAAGATCAAGAAATTAAGATGGAACATATTTGGGAGAGGCACTAGGAGTAATGTAAAAGTTGGTTTACATTTGAGGTAGTGTCTGAAAAATGGACAGAAAAATGTATATAGAGAGAGTTAGAGAAGGGAGCTACAGGGGGGAAACAAGCTCAGAGACATCTAGACAGAGGGACATGGTGGCTCAGAGTTGAAGACAGCATTCTCCATACATGGACATGTGTAGGTACGCTGTCCCAATCCTGTGGCCTGATGTCCCTCTAGATCTAGAAAGGGAAGAGCAGAGAGGGAGACAGACACAGGATTCACAGAGACAGGGAGATGCAGCACAGAGAAGCTGAATGGTGCATAGGGACACTCAGACACACGGAATTAGGTAGAGGGAATGACTACACAGATGCACACAGAGTGACAGAAACAGAAATGGAGGCAGACCAATTCAGGCCTGCAGAGGGAGCCTCCTACCCCTTACTCCAGGCTCCAGCAGCCTTTGGGCCTTAGGCAATGCCCAGGGCCTAGTGCAGGGAAAAGGAAGGGTCTTTCCTAAGAGAAGTTTGGTTTGGAACCCAACACTTGTAGGCAATAGAACAAGTTTGTTCTCTGGATTCTGGAATGGCCTCAAGAGAAGAGACTCTCCATCTGCCAAGAGGGCTCTACCCAAAGGTTCAAGAAAGAGTGAGCTTTATAATGCAATTGTTGTGAGTAGCCTTTGGGTTTTCCTACATGTACATTGAAGCTGTGATTTTCTGTTCATGACAAGGTTGTTCATTCCAGGAATGGCAGACCCGAAAGAAGAAATGTGCTTATTCCTGTCTTCTTGCCACCAGAGAGAATGAAGGAAACCTCACGCCGTGGAGCTGTCAGAGGAGGGCACGAAATGTGCGGAGGATGGAAGTCCTTCTTCTGAGTTGTTCTGTGCTACTGAATACGTCTTGCCCATGAACCATATATATACAGATGTGACTCCTTTGGTCATAAGCCAAGTGAAAATCATAGAGTTTGAATCAGAAAGAAAAAACAAAACAAAACAAAACCCTATTTCAAGTCAAGGAGGCAGAAGCCTGGAGTTGTGAGCACAGCTAATCAAAGGTTGAGCCAGAGGCAGAAGCCCAAGTCTGTGGACTCCCAGTTCTTGACTTTCTCTCCAAGATCAGGTAGCCACTGAAGGGCTTTCTGTTTATACTTTCTGTCACCAACACTGTATATTTGAAGCCTGTGATGGGGAAAGGGAATATCATATTTCAAGGTCAAAGCTGCTCATTTTCTTAACTTTGTATGTAAACAAATTTAACCTTCAAACCAGGTGTTGCTTGATAGAGAACAATGTTATAGGTAGAAGCCCCTTTACAGAGTAAGTGCATTGCCAGCTGCCGCAGGAGAAAACCAAGGAACAGTGGATGATCCCAATTATCTCACCAAGAAGCCAGTGTTATTGATGTTCCAGTAGAAATGGGAATGTGAGGCTCGCTTTGTGCACGAGTAGTGTCTCTTTATTTCTGGTTTGTTTTTTTTTTTTGCTCCAAGGAATCTTCCTCTAAGTGAGAAGTTTGAGAAGGCAAAGGAATAATAAAGAGATTCATCAGAAGGTAGAAAAAATGCATCAACCCGGAGAAAGAATGATCTTACAAGAGGCATTGCTTATATTGGGACAACAATAGCATTCTTCTCAAATGGAGTCAGAAAGTGGTTTGAATTTGTCTTTTAACAATAGACCTGAAGAGACTTTTTAAGAGGAGGTGAGATAGGCATAGCCCTGATTTTTCTCAGTGCACAGAAATTAGGCATCAAGAAATGCCACTTATCCAGAGTCAATATATTGAGGCAAAGATGGAATCTTATAAAGCCAAGTAGTTAGATGACTGTAAATCTGGACAGACTTTAGAAAAGGCGAAATCTTATTGCCTCATTTTACAGCTGAGGATTCTGAGTACAGGGACAGAAGGAGGGATTAGCCTGTTGTTTGTATCATGCATTAAGCAGTCACAGCTGGTATGAAAACACTACAGTGTACTCACTTCTGGAGATAGGATATTGGGAAACATACCCCACCATGCTCATCATTAAACCAAGAAAGGCCAGTGGATGGTACAAGAAACTACAGAATTATTTGGGGACTCTGTGAAGAAGTTGTGCTCACTCTTCTGCAGCCCCAAACTACTCTGTACCATCTTAGAAAATGTCGAGGAACTGCATGGGATAGGTTGGCTCCTGATGACCTTGACAGGGATACATGCAGTATCCTGCTTACACCTCACAAAGGGGATGACTTGGTCAGGTGGACCAAGGAGAAATTGGTGCTAACACTGCGTAAGGCAGACTCATGGGTAGAGTACTTTATTTATGGCCATCCTTGGGAAAGTCATTTATATTCCTTAGACTACTTTTCTGTAAATTGAAGATAATAAAACCTACCTCAGAGGATTACTGTAAAGATTAAATGTACAAATGCAGGTATTTAGAATAGTACTTGGCAAATATTAATTGCTCATCAAATGTTGATTTTTTAAAAGAGTACTTGTGAAAATGTGTACACATACAAACACACGTAACACAAAAAATGTATAGCTCTGCTCTTTGCATGAGATTGGATGTAGATATGCCCACAGGAACTAGTTGACTGACTGTTAAATAAAAGAGTCAAGCATTCAATTTGGTCTGTTCAATGTTAGAGTTATCAGTCAACAAAATCTGCTGAGTTTACTACCATAGAATGAGCCTTTTATCCAGTGCTACTCTGATAATGATACATGGTTCCCTGCCTTGGAAACAAGAGTGTGTGGCACAGGGCTCTAAGCCCTGTCCTTGTCTAAGGTTAGCTTCACTTTCTTTTTTTCCGGAGAAGTATTCCCTGATTGGTCTAACCAGAAATGCTGATCCTCCTTCCTTAATGTTTTATGTGATTTATAACCTGTCCCATTCACTTTACATCGGTATATATTGTGTTATATTGTTTACTTTGAGTCCTTTATGTGCATAAATTTTCTTTCCCAGATGAGACTGTAAAACCTTGTTGCTCACTGTGTTACCTACTTTCACATGCTTATAGAGCAGAGCAAGGTGCTTTGTATATAGAATGTGTTCACTAAATATGTAAAGTCCTTTGGTTACACAACCTCTTGATACTGGTTTTTCCAAATCTCAAATGACCTAGTGCTTAACTAGTGACCTAAATAAATCTGACCTATTTCAACAAACATTGCCTCCTTGACCATCATTACTGTAAAATGTGTAATAGAATTTCCTTTTATTTATTTCTCTATTGTCCATACCTTCCTCTGGTAACATCTAAAGGCAGGTTTGCATCAGATCTTTGAGGGAAGGAATGCCTGTAAATAGAAGACCCCAGAATTACTATGTATGAAATTATTTGGTAGTGAGAAGAACAATTTAAAGTAGCTACGCAACCTGAGTCATATCAAGTGAAGTTTCCCACAAGTGCAGACTATGTGGACAATGTATTCTAGGTCTGAGTTACCTACAGCCAGGTGGAGGCTCAATAAGAACTACTGTTCCTCATCATCAAATAAATAAATAAATCTCTCTGGTGTCAAGCTAGAGATTAGATAATGATTTTCTGATGTAATTATCTAAAAGTCACCCCCTTTGTGAGATGTGCAGGACATTGCATGTGTCATCGCCAAGGTTCATCGGGAGTTAACCTATTCTGTGCAGTTCCTCAACGCTTCCCAAGACGGCGCAGGGTAAGTTTCTGGCTATAGAAAATTCAGCCAGTTTTTTCCAAGTTCAACATCAGTATAGGCAGAAAAGCAATAAAAACCTTTTAAAATCATCAGCGATAGTGATGCAACCTTGCATATTATCACTCTCCTACTCACACCAGTGTAGTAGGTGGAACACAGAGTCTCATGTCATCATCTGAGGTAAAGATGAGGAATGGCAGGACAAACAGGTGACTCACTTTAATGGATCTGCTTCAGACAAGAGAAACCTGTAATTTCTCTCAGGTGTGCTTGACGGACCCACTGTGGAGTGAATCACACACTTACACAAGCCTTGAAGCTGTGGGCAGCTATACTGTTGTCAGATTGGCTTCTTACAATAGGCGGCTGGTTCTCACCAGGGCCTCCCGGACTTCCCTTCCAAAAGATGAAAAAGATGGGTCATGGCCACTGAAGGAAGACTGTGGGGGGCACCAGTGTGGGCACACGTGATGCCGGGGCATGATGGTAGGAACTCAGTGCCAACCTGCCAGCTGGGTGATTCTCCACCTCCCGGCTGCTAGATCTACTTCCTGGATTCCGTGAGTACCTGTCCCAAGCCCACACCTCTTTTCTCCTGAAGAAAGAAATGTTTTTGAATATGTTCCAGCATGGGAGAAATGTGTGATTTATGATGGTATTTTCTGGGATGCTTGATTCTGCAGGATCCTTCCCGAACACTATTTAGAAACTGGCCAGCTCCAAGTTGGACTGTTTCCTAAGTCTCTTTTATGTTTGTTTTTCTTCAAAGAGTCATCGGTCAGGCTCTAATTGCTCACTTCTAGGAGTGAAAAATGAAAAACATCCTGTCAGGCAATTAGACTCACTGTCCCTGAATTGTCCTCTTGCATGATAAAATTCAATTCCCTTTCTTTAGACTGAATGCAAAGCTGAATGTTTTTTAAAAAACATTCTTTAGTGGTTTCTTCTTTAAGAGGCTGACAAAGCTGTCTTTATAATAACTTAAGACATTTCTTCCTCTTACTGTTAAAACCTATTGCAGAGGTATTTCCCTTCCTTTGAGGGGACAGTGATGTACTGTTTGAAGTCTCATATTCCTTAGATTATGAGATAAATCGTGAAAGCTCTAAATTGTTGTGTCCCTAGATGCTAGTTGTGTGTGTGTGTGAGTGTGTGTGTGTGTGAGAGAGAGAGAGAGAGTGCACGCGTGTGCACACATTTAGCTTTCTTCATGAGAGAGAATAATTGCTGGGACTATAAGTTTCTTTGAAATTATGGCAAATACCAGGATAGTTGATGAGCTGTGTGGATGCCTCCCAACTCTGAGTTTTGTGATCTTGAGACCTATCAGAATTTGGATTCAGACTAATCTCAGAAAAAAGATACTGAGCTACAAAAAGATTATCTGGAAGCCATCTAAAATAGCCAAGGAAGAGATGTCCCCAATTCTAATAGATCTTGCTACCTTTCTTTTCCCCAAGGTTCTGTATGAAGTACCCTATCCTACGCAAGAGAGAACCACTAAGAGTAACTAAAGAGAATCTATTATTGAGGCCAAGAAATAGTGGTTTTTAAACACATAAACAACTCACTTATCCATCTGAGGTTATAATCAGAATTCTAATTGCAGTAATGGAGTATATGGGACATACAGTTATGGAATTTGGCTTAGGGCAACAAAACATACACACACCCTAAAATGTGGGTCACCTAACTCTCAGGTTCCTCACCCTTCAGTTAACCTTTCTGAATTGGTCACTCACATCAGACAAAGGGATTGGCCAAGGAGTGTGAGGTGAGTTACTGTCTAGATAAGCTGGTGGGAATGGTTGCCTCCCTCTCACCTCGCGTGGTACACTTCAGCAGAGAGGAGCACTTAGGGACCGTGTGTGCTCATTTCCAGATGTTCCTAGACCTCTCACCTTAGGGTGTTGGCATCAAGAGATCTGAGAGATCATACTTTCCACACATTCCCTCATCACTGACTGCATTTACCATTCCTGGTCTGACCCTTTCTTATTTTCTTTGGGAGTCCCAGTGCCAGTCCTTGCCCGGCATGTTCAGACAGGTGGGGCACATCTCAGTCTGTGAGAGTCATCTCCAGCTCCATCAAGCACATACCCAAGTCAGTTCCAGGACCCAGGCTAATCGTAGCTTTGAATTCCAACTCATTCAGAAATTCAGGCGAGGTACAAGGAAGATGGAGAAAATAGAAGATGGTGTCCAGGTTTTCTGGGTCTGTCCAGGGGAACAGTGTTCTGTGAGTTCTGGTTTGTAGAGACAGCATGAAATAGACCCGTGCATGGTCATGTCACCCTCTTATGACACCCATGGCACACATTCATATGCTTGCAGGGCTCTCCTTTTCTTTTTTCCCTTCCTTCACATGGATTTATTTCTTATTTACCTAGTTGGGACTTCCCACTACATTTTTACCTACATGCTTCAGGTAGTACAATGAAGAAATACATAGTAAATCTAGCATTAGTGAGCATTTCTGCTTAAATCACTAGGTTTCAAAAGTTACCTAGAATTGCAAATACCTTGGCCTTCTCTATCTGTGGGTTCCACATCCATGGGTTCAACCAACTTTGAATTAAAACCATTAAGAAAAAGCAAAATGTGTCTATACCAACACATCAGTAATAGAGTCTAAAAACTATTACAAAGCATTTGCCTTGTATGAGACACATAATCTAGAGATGTCTTAAAGTTTAGGGGTGGATGTGCACAAGTGGCATGCAACCATAGTTCATTTGGTATGAGGGATTTTGTGTGTGGGTGGATTTTAGTGTCTGCGTGGATCCTGGAACCAATCTCTCAGGGATCCTGAAGACCACTGTATGATCACTTGCCTCTCTAAGATAGAAAAGTTTCCTGTTGATTGTAAAACAAAAACTTCAAACTCTGGGCAGGGACCTTTACTCATTCATTTTCTCTCTGAGGAATCATAATTGACTTATACAATGGATGCTTACTGAGTGTTCATTTATGTACCTTACACTCTGCTGGGTGCTGAGAGAAAAGTTAGGTGTTCACCTCCAAACTAGCAAAAGCCTGATTTTTTTCCTGTCTGTACCCTAGATGTGACCTGATTTCTCTCAGTCTCTGGGGCTAAGAGCACTGATGTGCTCTGTTGACCCATTGTGATCAGTGCTTGGGCAGTGGGGTGGTGGATGTCGACTACTGTAAATTGGTGGGGAAGGTAGTTCACTCTGGGTCTATTGGATCATGCTACATTTTCTTTTAAGTTTCTGAGCCAACAAATGTTATTTTCTCTCTCTTTAATCACTAAGTTAGAGCAGGGAGCCTGGCTTAATTCAGCAGCCTAGAGTTGCTGTTTATTATTGTGTGAAAAGCAAAGGTGGACTGTAGTGGGTAATTCACACTTGTATAAGGATGCACAGAGGTGATTTGTGGAGGAGGGGAGGAGGAATTTGGGACATGGATTGATTACTTTTACATGTCTTGAGAAAATGCTGTGTAGTTGCTTTTATTGCAAAAATAAGTATCTTGCAGACTCTTTGGGAAGAAAATGTGGAGCTTTTTTGGGAGCAAGATGTGACTAATTTGAAACTGAAGGGAGTTTGTTTGCAAATGAAAAATTATTATTTACCTCGTTGCCACAGATAACTTCAGGCAAGAGTTCTTTTGTATCTTGTTTTTTTCTTCTACTGATTTTTATTTTCCATTCCTGAACCTGTTCTTCTTGTGATTGTCCCAAGCTTTGGTGTAAGTGACTTAAAGAGCTCCCATGAACCCATTGGTACAGGGGCGCAACAAATACATAGCAGGGCTGAGTTTGGCAGATTAACTTGTTTGCCTCCAAGATGACAAATTTTCATGGAACAGCAGCTTAAAATTCCCCAAAGCATTTTTGATGAGCAAGCTAATTTTAATAAAAACTGGGTGACATGGTTTTTTAAAAAAAGTTTTATAAGAACTCTTGGAAGCTTTGGGGTGTGTGTGTGTGTGTGTGTGTGTGTGTGTGTGTGTGTGTGTTGGGGACAGAAGGAAGTCTGGGGGAGGGTGGTATAGCACACATTGTTGCCCCAGTTGAACTAACCATGGAACACCTTTGTCTTTCATGAGAAAAATATTCTACAGAAACCTAGTTTAGAGTACCATCCCTTCGTTAAATATAGCAAATACCAAACTCTACTGTTTGCCTACTAAAAGTAAAGCAGGCAGATTTCCTAAATTCAAAGAAAATTTAAATCTGTGGATACAAACACCTCACTGTTAAATTTTCCTTTAACTTTTTGTGCCTGCTACAAGTGCTTGGTAAACTAGTGCTTGGTAAACTAGTGGTGGATCATGTGGCAGACATAGATATTCATAGCTACGGTACAGTTCTGAAAGGTCTAATCCTTACTGTCTTGCTTTCCCTCACCCTAAGTACTAGGATCCTGGATTTTACTAAATCCTGGATTTTACTAAATAAGCCAGTGACTTATCTCTCAAACAAAATGTTTCTCTGTCTCCGTATAGAACTAGGGATGTTATGGAGACTCATAATTTTGTTAACAAACTGAATACACTGGAGAATTAGAAGTCAATAAATGGTATAAAGGGAATTTAAACATAAAATACGTGGAACAACTCTGGATTTTCCATGTAGGATAGAACATGGCATAGACTCCAGCCATTTGTCATCCAAAACTGATGACTCAGCGGGGTGAGTTAGCCTGGGGGAGATTTACATCTGAAAGCTGCTTCTTTTAGTCCTGTGTTTTGCTCCTGTTCCTTTGGATGATTCACAATTCTCTTGTCCTATTTAACTTAGTATTCAAATTTTGCATCATTGTTCTTTTCTTTTCCCCATTCTTTCAAGAGATAACACAAGATACTGGAGAGGGAGGAAGTTTGCTTATATTTGCAGAAACTTCTCAATTTGGAATCATTCACAGTTAAAGTTTACTTTAATTAAGTCTTGATGAGTGGTAAATCAAAGAATGTGGGCTTTCTCTACTCTGTTATATAAAATACCAGTCTCTGGTTATGAATTGTGCTGCTAGGACTTCTTTTTATGTTTTAATTCTCAGATCTCTGTTCTCTCTCTGCTTTGCAGAACATTTGGCTTTTGGCTTTGGCCCCATCTGAGATACCCCATTCAACTTTTTTTTTGGTGAGAAGAGAAACAACCCATTTGGGGCCAACCTGAGAACACCTATAGGATTCATCACAGTGATCAAACTTTGCAAAATAAGGATTCTATGACTCCTCTTGTGTAAGGTTATTGAAAGTCTCCCAACATTTGTAGCAACTGAAGAAAACTTACCATATAATTATCATACCTAATGATAAATAGATTACATAGACAGACTACAATAACACAGGTGATAAAAACCCTCCAGGCAATTATGCTCAGTTCATGTTTCTTATAGTCATGTTTATGATTTTCATTTTATATCTCATACATATTTTTACTAGTAAAACTTTTCTTATATGAATATATAAAATATATCATTATCTCATAATGTCCCATAAGAGTACAATGACCTATAAAAAATGTCTTGACTCTTGGATCCTACACCCTGAATACTTTAAGAGGCTATACTTACTGGGAGACCCCAGTACTGGGAGGGGAAGCATTTTTGGACCCCATAAATTATATCATATTATTGTGTCAAATGCCTGACTCTTCCAGCAAGGTTAACTTTAAATAAAATTTCTATATTGACAATTATGGATGGTAAAGGGACCCTTCTCCTGAAGTTTCAGATGGTAGGTGTTATTATTTATAAATACCTCCTTTTGGTTCACCTTCACTCATTCGTGCATTTAACACTATGATCTTTAAAGGAGGATAATTTGGTTTATAGGCAACATCAGTCTAATGATTTGGTCCTGAATGTGCATATCTTTTCTCCCTTGTATCTTGGAGGGAAATTTCAGCATAATTATGAAGAATAGCAAAAAGAAAGGATCAAAATGACTACTTTAGTGAAAGAAATGAACAGTTTTCAAGTTGACAATGAAAACAAACCTTATAGTCTATACTTCTGGTTTTTTTAAATTTAAATTTTATTTTTTTTGTGTGTGTGATGCTGGGGATTGATCCCAGAGCCTTGTGTATGCTAGGCAAGGACTCTACTAACTGAGCTATATCCCCAACCCTATATTTCTGTTTTTTAAATTGCAGACTATAGTCCATTAGTAGCTTGTGAATTTAATTTAATGGGTAACAACCAGTATTTGAAAGAATGTCAAATGGAATACAGTATGTATGAGATGAATTTGATATGCTAAGTGTATCTTGCTTATAGGTAGGAAGGATAAATATTTTTACATAAAGAATTTTAAAAACAAAGATCATGTATTTTTCAGATTTATGTATAATACCTATATACACACCTATACATATATACATACTGAGTTATAATGTAAGATTCACTTCTTATACCATGGTCAAAAACTTTGAAAGTCACAGTTGTATATATGAAAGTTATGGATACATTTAATATCATTTATCCTGCCTCTGCTGGTAATTTCTTTTGTGATGATTGTCTACATATTTGTGTTAAAGAATATTCATATTCCAAATTGGTTAGAGTACCCATCCTCCATTTTGCAACACACACAATAGCTTCTTCCCACCCACACTGTAAGATGATGAATTCTGTAACGCAATCCCCAGATCTATGCAAATTCATTACCACACTTTGCCTGTCATTCTGCCATGTTCTCTTTCCCCTGCCCAGACTTGCTCTACAAGTTAATTTTGTAAATCAGAATACTTTCCCCTATTCATTGGTTAAGAATTTTAAAGTCAAAGACAACTTAAAGCTTTCCTGCAAGTACCTGTGGCTCTGATTTCAGTAGGAGGCTCCCTAGACTCATGAAAGTTCATCTTAGATTTGACTCCACCCAGTAAAGGTCTGATGTTAGATCAGATGGTCTCAAGAGTAATGATGAGTTAGATCATCTCCCTTAGAGCTTTCCCCTCACTAAGTGGAACTGAGGTTGGCTGAGGGCTTATTCTCTGCCTAGCCTTGTTAACCAGGTCAGTGTATGGGTGAACCCTCTTCTCACTATTAGATGGACTTAGACAAGTCCCCACTACACATGCTTTATGGAAAGGACAGCAATTTTTTATTTTTGTTCCTCCAGCATCTGGTAAAGTTTCTGGCAAATAAAAGGCATTTGATAAATGAATGAATCAACATTTAAAGTTAATGAAATGAAAAAAAAAGACTCAGTAAAGTTAAACAGTTTATAAATAGTGGAGATGAGATTGCAGTCTAGTGCTTATCAACTCTAAAATCCACGGTATTTTCACTTTGCTGCCTGTACTCTTCCAAGAAAACCATTCTAAGGAACTCTTACTAATAAGAGGTATAAATTATCACCATTATGTATGAAAGCATAATGGGATGACCAGGATTATCTGTGATGCGAAGTTAAACCATGGTATTTGATACTATCTTGGAGATCTGGTTTTGAAAAATGGAAACATTAGGGAAAAAATAAAAGGCAAGAAACAAAGACATGGCAACAAACAGAGATAACTTCCAGTACTTCTAGTGGATCTATACAGAAATCTATTCATCTAGTGGAGGAAGTCTCAGTGTATGCTCCAGTAGCAGACAATTGTGCATGTTATGTTCACTTTACTTGTCTCCAAGACAAAGTAGTATGAAGGACAGTGATTCTCAATGTGTGTGGGAGAAAGTCTCCTCTAGAACACATTTGGCAAAGTAAGGAGACAATGTTGGCTGCCATACCTGGGGTGTGGTTTGCGGGGTGCTGGTGGCATCTATTAGATAGAAACCAGAGATGCTGCTAAACATCCTACAACTCACAGGAGAGCCTTCAACGAGTAAGAATTATCCAAATGTCAATAGCATCATCCCAGAGAGACCCTACTATAGAAATCAGGAATGGCTGTCCGGCTGGGCTATCTGAGCTGGACTCTAGGTTCTCATACTTTTTATGCAATTGACTTTGGGCTCATAGTTGCTCAATTCTTTGTGCTTTAGTTTCCCACTGATAAAATGAGGATAGTAATAGTATCTTCTGTTATATGATTAAATGAATCAAAGCAAAGAAAGTGTTTAGACTAGTATAGGCAATAGCAATTTTTGACAAATGGTACTTTAAAGAAATGTAGATTAAATAAGGACCGATGCTCTGTTGGACTTACATCAGTCCTGGTGCTTCCCTTATTCCTGTCTTCTGCTGTGGATAGGTCAACAGTTCAGAGAAAGACTTTTCTTTTTTTTTTATATCTTAATTGGGTTGAAAATAAATATTGGTTGGTGTCCTTTTGGGAGCAGGTTGTTTGGGTGTGGATATCTCAGTCCCCTTGCTAAGTGACTGATTAGCCTGCTAAGTGCAATGTTAATGTCACTTATGTGAACTGATCCCCTTTGGCAGGACCCACATTTTTTTCTCTATTGCAGGTTAAGATCCTAATGTGTGAAAATGAAGTCCCAGGCTACCATGATTTGCTGCGTAGTGTTTTTTCTGGCTACAGAATGTTCCCACCATAGACCCAAGAATCATATAAAAGTAAGTTTGATCCATCTCTACACGGTCCCAAGAGAAATTCCTCAGTTTCTCTAGATGGCTGGCTTTCTGATAAACAGCACGTCCTTTTAAATACATTTATATGACTATAAGTTTACTCTTGCTGATACTAACTTTCTAAGGAAGGGAATCAACATAGAGGAAAGGTGGCAGGAATGTGATTGGAGAGCAATGGCATAGTAGAACCATCCCTTTGCAAGCCACAGGGAATGTGGACAGGGAGCTGAAGAGAGGAGGAAAGCACTAGCCTGGCAGCTGTAGGGCAACTTAGATTCAGATCTTGATTTTGCTTCTCACTAGCTACACAAGTTGTTTTACTTTTTTGAGTCTTAGTTTCCTTATCTATAATATGAGGTTTTTTTTAAGATAATATTTATAGTCCTTTATAGGTCTAAAAAATTGTTATTCTGTTATTATAACCAAGGACTCTTCCTAGTATATGTCCATTTCTTTCTTCTAAGGATGTAGCTGGAGGGTCACATTACAGCATTTCACCTTTATAGTTAATAGAGTCTGAGCTTGATTGGCATAATTAAAGCTTCCCAAAAGATGTACCCTAGGGGCTGGGACTATAGCTCAATAGAGGGCTTGCCTGGCATGTATGAGGCACTGGGTTCAATCCTCAGCACCACATAAAAATAAATAAAATAAAGATCCATTGACCACTAAAAAAAAAAAAAATGTGTGCCCTGTCCCCTAACTTGACCTTCAGAGCCCAAGTGACTCTTCGAGGTTAAGCCCTCATGGAGGGCTGTGTGTTCTCTGTGCTCTCATCTGTGTTCCCTTGGGCAAGTTCCTGCAATACTGTCACAGGAATCTGCTGCAGGTATTTTCCTCATCATGAACACATTTCCTTTCCATATTTACATGGAGCCTCTAAGTTGAGATGAGCAAAGACAGTCCCACAGTAAAGAGGGCCTTTGGGGATTGTGTTTTTCAGGATAGAGCAAAACCTCAAAACTTTGAAGGGAAACCTGAGACCGGAAGGATACAAGGTATGTATCTCTAGAATCATCTTTACACATTTGGAGACAGGGCAGGATAAAGGAAGGACACTGATGTTCCAAGCATGCCCCCAGGCCACAGGTGTTCCAAGGAAATCATTATTTCTAATAAGTCTATCATATTTGCCACTATTGGTAGATTTATTATGACAATACCATTATCAATGGCATAGTCAGTGAAGTGAGTTTGCAAACATTCCTGTGCACTCTACAGCAGTTGACAAATGTCCATTTTCAAACCCCAAAGGAAGTAAATCTATTCAAACTAATGAGCTAACAATAGGCAGAACAGGAAAGAGGACCAAATTCCTCCTTTCCTTCCTTCAGATATTTTCAGGGTGCTTTAACATATGCAACACTGTGGTGCTGAGAGGTCTATTGAAGCAATGCCAGGTGGATACCACGGTGGTGAGACTGGTCACTCTCAAGAAGTGAGACATAAACTAAGGAGGTAAAGTCATAAGTAGTAATATAACAAAATCATGTGGCTCACACCCACATAGTAGGGATAACTGGATTCTGCACAGTCATGGACAGGTATAGTTCTGGTGGCAAATGCATCTCTAAATAAATGTGGACTTGGAAAGAGAAAGAGGAGAGAAAGGTAGCTAACATTTACTAGGCATTTATGACAACACTTATCTAAGTGTTGAACAAGAGGCTGTCTCATTAAACCTTTGTAACAACATTATAGCATCATCTCCAAGCAAATGAATGAAAAAATTAAGAACTACTCCAGTTAAGTAACTTGCAAAATTGTTATATGTGGTAGATATCAAGGAAAAATACAAACCCAATTGTTTTCTTTCCAAGAGAAAGCAGTAGTCCAGGCTCTAAGTATGGGTGCATGCCTTGATTCTAACCAGTTGGTCATCTCATTTTATTGACTTCAACACCTAATAGGTCTCAGCATCATCTACAGATTTCCATTCTATTGTCACTATCTTAAAGGCAATTTTTCTAAGAATACTTCAACAGTTTCTTTCTTAGACTTCCTGTCTTGTGCTAATTCACTTTGACCTATGGGCCATATTTGGCCCACCACCAGTTTTTAATGGAACACAGTCATCCCCATTCAGTTATATACTGTCTTTGGTTACTTTTCACACTAAAAAGACATAGTTGAGTAGATGCGACAGACACCCATGTGATCTACAAAGTTGAAAATATTTATTCTGACTAGGGTTTGCTGTATTTAGAAAATAAAAATATAAGATGCCAGGTTAAATTTGAATTTTAGATAAGCAATAGATAATATTGCATGTGTCACAAATACAGTAAAAATAATTCTCTCTCTCTCTCTCTCTCTCTCTCTTTTTTTTTTTTTTTAAAAAAAAACACTTTCAATCCACCCTCATTTTTTGGGGGGGGGCAAATTCTAAATTTCCAAATTCACTTACTCCCTGAATTTTATTTGTAACCCTTAAATCTACGGTGTTCTTGTGATCATTCACAGACATGCACAGAACAGCGAAAAATGGAGTTGCCTAATGAGCATGTTCCCAGCTAAGACTGGCCAAGGTGATACCCTGTGTTAGCTTTTTGTCACTGCAACCAAAACACTTGACAAAAAAAAAACAAAAAAAACAAAAAAAAAAAACAGTAGAGGAAGAAAAGTTTGTTTGGGCTCACAGTTTCCTAAGTTCAGTCCACGGTGTGTTGCTTCTGTTGACTCCAGAGCTCTGGGGCTGTGTGAGACAGAACAATATAATGGAAGGGAAAGGCAGAGAAAAGCAGTTCAGGACATGGCAGCAATAAAAGCAGAGACAGCTAATTCTGTTCACCAGGGTCAAAATATAAACTCCAAAGTGACATCCCCAGTGACCCACCTCCTCTAATCACATTCCATCTGCCCACAGTTACAGGCCAGTTAATCCATATCAGTGGATTAATCCACTGATTAGGTCACAACTCTCCTAATCTAATCATTTTATCTCTGAAAATTTTTGCATTGTCTCACACATGGACTTTTGGGAGTCAGCTCATATCCAAACCACAACATCCTGCTTTCTTATTCTAGCTCTCATACTACGAATGAGTCCTCTTCCAGTCTGCATAATGCATGATTTTGCATTTTTGTGCTTTCTGTTTATGATCTCTTTTTGTATAAAACGCCCCCCAACCATAGTGCCAAAGTGCTGTCTAGTGTTTCTAAGTCAAAGAAGGCTGTGGTGTTTTCTGAAGAAAATACATGGGTTAGATAAACTTGGTTCAGGCTTGAGTTGCAGTGCTTATGGGCCCTGAACTCAATGTTAATGAATCAACAATATATATTAAATAAGGTGTCATTTAACAGAAACAAATAATACAAGTTCATATATTGATCAGTTGATGAAAATGTCATGAGCAGAAACTGGCAGGAATCTAACCTTAAGTTCCCCTAGGATGGTTGGTTCAGAATGCTAATTCATGGTGAATTCACAGAACATAACTCCTGTGAATAATGAGAATTGACTGTATCTTAAGTAAAATTAACATTTAAATGGGTTTTTCTGTATTTTATCTGGCAACTCTACTTATACAGTTCTGTGCAGAAAAGTTTACTGACTCTTGCTCTATGCTGTTGCCAATTACCTTTCAATAACAAATCCAATCATGTTTTCTGGTAACTCTGATGCTAGCACAGCATTCAGTGCCCCTCAGGACTTCACCCATGCTTTCCTTCCAACCTCACTGCCTGTACTTCCTCTCAGGTGTTCTGAGCTAGCTTTTCTGAATGACCTCTAGATGCCCTCTCCACATGCTGCTCACTCTGCCTAGACACCAGCATCCCCATTGGCCTAACAGCCCTTATTCATTGCTGCAGACTCAGTTCAATGTCACTTCCTCTGGGAAGCAATCCCCAAAGTCCCAGAATGAATTACATGCACTTATCAGAGTGCCAGTGCAGATATGCTAATTTGGTCTCTCACTCATTTCTTTTTCCTTTTTAGAGAAATGTCATGAACCTTGCCTTTCCTCTACCAACTGCAGCCAACCCTGTGCTAAGCACTTTCATGGAGAAATAGGATTTATATGTCATCAAAAAAAGTGGCAAAAATCAACTGAAACATGTACAAGCCTTTCTGTGGAAACACTTTTTAAGGTGACTCATTTGCATATTATTGGTAAAGGAGCTAATCCCCCAGGTGGTGACGGAGAAATATGTAATACTCTCTGTTCAGCTCAGACCTGGATTTAGGAAAATATAGAGTGGGTTAAATTTGTCTATTGTCCTTTTTTTCTTACCCAAACTCTGGGGTACTCTCCCCTCTCCCAATTTTATTTCTCCTTCACAGAACATTTTCCCAACAAAGATTTGAAGCTCATTTATCCTGTGATTTAAATGATTGCTTAGAGATTCAAATTTAGCCTTAAAGGTGGATTTGCATGCCTCTGTGTTAATTAATCAACTGAATGTCTAGAATTAAATTTGATATCTTTCTTTTTTAAATATTATTTTTAGTTGTTGATAGACCTTTATTTTATTTATGCATTTATATGTGGTGCTGAGAATCGAACCCAGTGCCTCACACATGCCAGGCAAGTGCACTACCACTAAGCCCTAGCCCCAGCCCCTGATATAATGCTTTCAGTCTCTTGGCCAAAAGAAAGTAGAGATGTGTGATTCAGAGGCAATAGAAATTCAATGAAGAGAACACATCTCAGTTAAAATTAAAATGTCCTGTTTTATATTTTTGCACTTAACCCCCATTTCTTTCTGTCTTTCCTTCATATCATTGAAGCATGTGGGCCCCTGCATTTCCTGTTTGGTTTTATAAAGGGACTTCCTAGGAGTCTGTCAATTATCATAGGTAATCATATAATTATCCTTGCAACTACAGTGGCATTCAAAAGTGAATTAAAGGAAATAAATTATTGCTTTGTCTTATTCAAAGTCACATTCTGAGGGAGTCTACATAAAAGCATCAGGAAATGAGCAAATAACTTCTAACTTGTAAATTAAAAACTTCGAAATTGTAATTCTTTAGCATTTGGTATTTCAACTGCCAACCTCCAAAAACAATTCCCATTTGAAATTCCATGTGGTTTCTCTTTGTCTGCATCTCTGTGGAAAATCATCTTGTTATAATAATACTTGTGTTAAAGCCACTTTCCTGAAAGTAAATTCCAATAGGGAAGGTCAGTATCAGTATCCTGATTTCTATGGGAATTTGATGGAAGTTGATGCCTATTTGTGACCCTATCTTACCTTCCTCTACTTCTCAACACTAAAACCCCTTTTTAGGACCACTTGCTTCTTTTCCATGTGGATTGTTTGTGCTTTTAGTTCCTTTAGTATGATACATACCAGAAACTCAATCATTTTTAATAAAACAACAATCTTTTTTTTTTTTTTTTTTTTTTTTAAACAGGACTCAAATGTGGCATTACGTCTTTCTGTAGCAGCACCTTCTATACCTCTACCCATTCTAGACTTTCAAGCTCCAGAGCCTGTTAAGAGTGTAGCTCAAAGAATCTGCAAGAATTGCCCTCATGATTATGCTTGCATCATTGATGTTGTGAAATCCTCAGAAACTACATCTGGAAATATTGCATTTATAGTGGAGTTATTGAAAAATATTTCTACAGATTTGTGTGGTGGTGTTACCCGGGAGAAAATGAAGGTACTCTTACACTGGTAACAGTTTTTAAAAAATTTTACACTTTAACAGTTTCAGATGTATTTTTCAGGGTAAAAACTGCAACTACCATAATAAGAACATCAGGCATTTCATTTCAGTTTTGCATATTGACTTAAGTTAGAAGATTTGAAATATATTGTGATCACCATGAGCAAAACAGAACTTACTCTAGTATTTCCAAAATTATGTTCTGGTAGAGCACAACTGTTCTGAGGAATGTTAACACAGATTCCATTATTTTTGATACTCAGGATGGAACCCAGGGGCGCTTAACCAGTGATCCACAACCCCAGCCCTTTATTGTATTTTATTTAGAGACAGAGTCTCACTGAGTTGTTGGGGGCCTTGCTACGGTGCTGAGGCTGCCTTTGAATTTGTGATCCGCCTGCCTCAGCCTCTTGAGCCACTAGAATTACAGATGTGAGCCACCGTGCTCAGCTCAGTGGTTCTATCTTTGAAAGTGGCATAGCACTTGCAGGAAATTTGGGTTTAAACGCAGTTTTCCTTATGGCAGAATGTAGAGCCTTTAGTGTGCTGATGAACATTGGCACTTATTATTAAAGGGAGGAATAGAGATACGGTACATAGTGTTGTTCAAACTTGGATCACCAAAGAATCCACTGCTACTCCCCTCATGAAATAATCATTTATATCTCATGGGAAACTTGGGTTCCATATCCTGTGTTTTGGAGATGTTGCCTTTGGTACAATAATAAAGCAGGTAATGCTTAGCTGAGGTCTGTATCATTTGTATGTATGTGTGTACATGCATTTATATATGAGTTCTTTTACTTTTCTTCCCTGTGTGCAACCTTTCTTATGTGAGACTTGAATTTGAATTTGAAGAGAAATATGTCAAATAAGAGCAGGTAATTAGATGTTTAGAAATTTTAGATTTTAGAAATCCATTTTGTACAATAACGAGCTTTCCTCCACTGCAGAGCTACAGTGAAGTGGCCAACCACATCCTGGATACAGCAGCCATTTCAAACTGGCCTTTCATTCCTGACAAAAATGCCAGCTCCAATTTGTTGCAGTCAGTGAATTTGTTTGCGAGCCAACTCCGTATCCACAATGAGTCTGAGGACATCGTGGATGAACTCTTCATTCAGATGAAAGGCTTTCACATCAATCACAACAGCACAAAGAGAAGTTTCAATTTCTCCATGAGCATGGATAATACAACAGAAAGCATCTTAGGAATGATAGAAATTCCCAGGCAAGAGCTACAGAAACTGCCACCAGGGAACACATCCCGAGCCATTAGCATAGCTTTTCCAACCTTGGGGGCCATTCTGAAAGAACCCCACTTGCCAAATGAGAGTGTTTCCAGACCCATCAATGGTCTGGTCCTTTCAGTCATTTTGCCAGAAACGATGAAGGAAATCTTATTCACCTTTGAAAAAGTCAATAAATCCCGAAGTACCAGGGCACAGTGTGTTGGCTGGCACTCCCAGAAAAGGATGTGGGATAAGAATCAGTGTAAGAAGATGGTGGATACCATGGACAAAGTGAAATGCCATTGTAACTATACCCATGTGATGATGTCCTTTTCCATCCTAATGTCCCCCAAATCTGTGAGTGACAAAGCCCTGGACTACATCACTGGCATTGGACTCAGCATCTCAATCCTTAGCTTGGTTCTTTGCCTGATCATTGAAGCAACAGTTTGGTCCCGTGTGGTTGTGACAGAGATATCATACATGCATCATGTGTGCATCGTGAACATAGCAGTGTCGCTCCTGATTGCTAATGTGTGGTTCATCATAGGCTCTAACTTTACCGTAAAGTCCCAGGAAGACAACTGGTGTGTCACAGTGACATTTTTCAATCACTTTTTCTACCTCTCTCTGTTTTTCTGGATGCTCTTCAAAGCACTGCTCATCATCTATGGAATATTGGTCATTTTCCGTAGGATGATGAAGTCCCACATGATGGTCATTGGTTTTGCCATTGGCTACGGGTGCCCGCTGGTTATTGCTGTCACCACAGTTGCTATCACAGAGCCACAGAAAGGCTATGTGAGACGTGATGCTTGTTGGCTTAACTGGGATAATACCAAAGCCCTCTTTGCATTTGTCATCCCAGCCTTGGTCATTGTGGCTGTGAATCTCCTTGTGGTTTTGGTTGTTGCTATCAACACTCAGAGGCCCTCTATTGGCAGTTCCAAGTCTCAGGATATGGCCATAATTATGAGGATCAGCAAAAATGTGGCCATCCTCACCCCATTGCTAGGACTGACCTGGGGTTTTGGAATAGTCACTCTCATAGAAGAAACTTCATTGATATTCCATATAATTTTTGCTCTGCTCAATGCTTTCCAGGTAAGTTCCAAGAGGGAGATTTTGTGTGTGTGTGTGTGTGAG